TCTTTTTCTTTTGGCCCGGCATGGCCAGCGGGTTAGGGTGCTCAACTCGCAATCTGCAGGTCGCGAGTTCGAATCCTTGTCCCACTAAACATGCTCGCCCTTTCAGCCGTAGGGGCGTTATTATGTAACGGTCAATCCCACTATTCGTTGGTAAAAAGAGTACCCCAAGAGTTGGCGGTGTGTGGTGTCTTCCCTCTTGTCTTACACTACTAAATTAGGAACGGCTAGCGCAGATAGCCCTCGTGTAGCTTTGCGCGAAATTAAAAAAACAAACTTTTTCTTTTTATCAAGTCCTTTTGGTATCTTACTGAGTATCAGTTGATGCGTACTTTGTGACACTTGCAGCAAATACATTAAGCCATATTTTGGAGGGTACTTGTTCTATCAACCAAATGTTCTTGAAGTTACTGGTAACATCGAGGTAACTTTGAGCTCGGTTTCACTCTGATATTCGCCACAGTTCGATTTGAAGTTAAAGTTTTTTATATGCTATTCTATAGTTTTTCTACAGTACAGTTATTTAAAACTTGTTTCTGAAATCCATAGGAAAGCTCTGTCATCTTTTAAAGTTGTTCAGCCTTCCAACCAACGTTTTATATAGCCTGTGATAGTTTAAATGTTTCTTTGCAGATTTCCAGAGTATCGGGTTATCCTATAAGGTTTGAAATGCATTTCTCTACTAGAATGGAGTTTTGTTTGTTTTTCTTATTTTGGTATTTTACACACTGACAAGCAATATTTTTTTAAAGATTCCTTCTTTTTCCGTGGAAGTATTCATTATAGAACAACATCTTCTATTTCAGGAGTTTTTTTTTATATACACATAATTAAGTGCTGTTTTTTTCTTCATTGTGTGAGAAAAAAGGGAGAATTTATATATACTGTTATACTTTATGTGGGTGATAATTGATATGATAATTTGAAGGAATATCACAGAATATCTATTCCAGCAGATCTTGTAGTACGTTCTAAAGCATACTGGGGACTTGTATCACAATCTAGAACATTCCAGAAATTGTGCAGTACATTGTAATAAATATCAATCGCATCTCATCTCTGAGATATTTTTTGGTGCCAACTTTGATAACGCATTTATGAATTTCTAGATTGTCGACGCTTTTCTACTAAAAATGCCCCCAGCTGTTAAAATCCGAGCGGGGGATGGAACTATATGACACTCTCTTTTTCTTTTACAAGTCTTCAGTGGTCGTTAAATGCGCCTCAGAAAAGAACAATATTTATCTAGCCCCCGAATTACAGGTTCTACTTCTGTTTATCTCTGAGAGACCTCTTACAGGTTCTGCTTCTGTATATCTCTGAGAAACCTCCTACAGGTTCTGCTTCTGTATATCTCTGAGAAACCTCCTACAGGTTCTGCTTCTGTATATCTCTGAGAAACCTCCTACAGGTTCTGCTTCTGTATATCTCTGAGACACCTCTTACAGGTTCTGCTTCTGTATATCTCTGAGACACCTCTTACAGGTTCTGCTTCTGTATATCTCTGAGACACCTCTTACAGGTTCTGTCGCTGTATATCTCTGAGAAACCTCTTGCAGGTTCTGTCGCTGTATATCTCTGAGAAACCTCTTGCAGGTTCTGTCGCTGTATATCTGTGAGAAAGCTCTTGCAGGTTCTGTCGCTGTTTATCTGTGAGAAACCTCTTGCAGGTTCTGTCGCTGTTTATCTCTGAGAAACCTCTTGCAGGTTCTGTCGCTGTTTATCTCTGAGAAACCTCTTGCAGGTTCTGTCGCTGTTTATCTCTGAGAAACCTCTTGCAGGTTCTGTCGCTGTTTATCTCTGAGAAACCTCAAGTGTTCAACCACTTGTTTCAATAGAATATTTTCTGCTTCTTTGGTAACTCGGTCAAGGTTATTGTGTACATTGCTGGCCATACAAAATATGTTAATCAAGATATTTGTATTTTTATTAAAGTGGTTTGCATGCATAACTTAGTGTGATTAGCAAGTCGATAATTGTAATCAGATTTGGAAATATGAAATTAATAATTTATTTGAATTGTAATAATTATGATGGAGCCGTTTGTTCGAGACGTTTAGACGTGCTTCATTGATACAGAGAGGGAGGGTCTCTATGTTAGAATTAAACTGTCAGATTTCTTTAAGTCAGAAGCAGAGCACGTGTTAAGCACAAAGGCGACATTGTCGATATTTCCTACCCTCCTAGGTAGTACACGTGTAACACCTCTTCCCCCAAATACTTTCTGGCCCCCTGGATAAAATATGTTCTTGTTGTGACACCTTGAATATACATACAATTAATAACCAGTAGTGGTTTAATAAGAACTTTGTTAAACTTACTGTGAAATTATCAAAATACAATAAGTTTCATACGTGTTGAATGATCGGATTAATACGTAGAGAGAGAGAGAACTGATAACGAACGAAAGCACGATAATTATTATGAAACGGATTCTAAAGACACTTGGACTTGCTCGTACGTCGAGTACATGCCGATAAGGTGTGGGCCATTCGCTTGAAAGCCCCAAGGGGTTAGTATGTATGATGTTTGTATTTACCAAACTCGACATTTTCTGTTCAGTGTGTGAAGGGAAGGTATGGGGGGTTCAGTGAACCATAAACCTCGCTGTTCTTCCTGGTTGTGCTCTCCACGTTATGACGTCAAACGTTAAAGAAACAGGTTCTTAATAACTGGGTGCTAGGTACCGTTTATATAGCGGTATCAGTAAACGCGTTAAGAACAAAACATGTTGATTATCTGCCAAAATTTATGAAACTTATTTTTCAAAAAGAGTGTTCTTCACATGCTACGTATTACATTTTTGAGCCTTCATTATTTGATATTTTATCCTCTAGAAATAGATTGTTCTTTAAAGATATATTTTAAACTGTGATTTTTCGTCTGTGTGTGTGTGTGTGTGTATATATATATATATATATATATA